GTTTAGATAGATATAAATAAAAAGTAGGGGAGAGGATAAATAGGAATCAGTGATAATTTAGGAGAGAAACTCTCTACTAAATTAGAGATAATTGTAGAGATAAATAGGAATTAGAGATAATTTAGAAAATAAATAGGAATTAGAGATAATTCTGAAAAAGTGGGGAAGGTAGTTTAGAATAAATTTTAGAAAAATAAATTATTTAGGTTATTGGAAAAGTACATTTCATTGGTTGTTTAAAAAATACATAGAATAAAAAAATAAAAAATTCAAAAACAGAAAAAAAAATTATTAGATAAATTAATATTTGTGATTGAGAGATCTGTAGAGTGAAACCGAAAGAACTGTGGATTTCTATCTACATGCCCAGAGACGTTTGATTTAAATATTTTAAAATGACGTGTCAAAATCAATGGATACAACAACTCGATGTACGAACACGACCAAAAGCGAGGAGGTCCTATAGAGAGACGTTTATTGGTTTTGTATGAAATATGGATGAAGTGGTTGAACGACACCATGACTCCAGACTCCTCTAGGTGATTAGATCGATTTTTCTGGTGAGGATGGAATCGATAAATGTAGGTTGATCAAAACCATCTTCAAAACTGGTGACTTGACCACCGTGGATCTATTGAAATCATGCGGACCCCAGTTTTTTTCATCAAAATTGTAATAAAAAATTATGATATAACATAAATAATATATTTTATTATTTATATAATATATAATATATAATATATAAATAATATATAAAATATATATATATATATATATAATGTTTCATAATTAACGGATCAGATTGGTTCATTTTAAATTGGATCGGGGTATATCCAGATTTGATCTATTAATTAAATGGATCAATTTTTCCGATCCGGTCCGATTTATTAGGATCAAGGGAGATATCCAAATCTGACTCTTATCGGATAGGATTTGGATTCAAATTAGATGTTATCGGACTTATTTGCAGCCTTAAACAGAATTTCCCAAAAACAAAGTCATCCGAAATTTCCAAAAAACATGTTTATTCCATATATCCATATCTATCTACTTACTATCTATCTATTATATATAAAAAGATTTTGGAGTTTAACGCTCTCCCTCCTTTTAGTCAATGTTTTAAAGTTCCCTTTAGAATTTGTTAATACTCTACTTTGTTATCTCTTTTCTTTTAAGATTATAAATGTATTTGATTCAGCAAAATCCAAATCTGATCCTATTGGATTCAAATTTGAATCCTTAAATCCAACTCCATTTTAATTTTAAAAACACAAAAAAAAGTTGAATACTTTTCAACTTTCTGACATGTAATTGGATTTGAAGACTGATTTGAATTCAAGTCCTAATGTAATTGGATCGGATTCAAATTTAATTGGACTCTGCTTTAATTGTTTAAAATACATACGAAAAATAATTTTTTTTCATCAATTGTCGACTTTTTATTTCCTTGAAGTGCCCCTTTTGACTTTGTTAGTACTCCACTTTGTTATTTCTTATCTCGTAAGGCTATAAATGAGTTAGATTTGGATCAGATTCAAAAAAAAAAACAAATCCAATCCAATTATTGAATTCGAATTCAAATCCTAACAGATTCGAACTAAATTCAGATTTAATCCGACTCTGCTTCAATTTTTTAAAATACAACAAAATTAAAAAGTTAAAAAAAAATTAGTTAATTACTTTTCATTTTTCAGCTTTCTAAAATCCAATTGGATTTGAAGACCTAAAATTCGAATTCTAATCCTAATAGACTTAGATCAGATTTGGATTTAATCCAACCCTACTTTAATTTTTAAAAACACAAAAAATATAAAATTTAATTATTTTTTAATTTTTCAAAATCTGATTGAATTTGAAGACCTCGGGTTCAAATTCAAATCCTGATGGACTCGGATCAGATTTGGATTTAATCTAACTCTGTTTTAATTTTTAAAATACATAAAATAAAAAAGTTAACTACTTTTATGTGTAATAAAATAATGCAAATATAATATATTGAATTTGTTATATGTTTATATTCACATATCTATCTACTATATAAATTCATATATAATACAATATATACAAATGTATTTTTTATTATTTTAAACATAACCATATAAATTTAATCAGATCAAATGGAGTCGAATCCAAATCTCACTCAATTACATAAACACCTCATTCGAATCCAATATAATTGAAAAGTGTTTGGATCGAGCAATGCATCTAAATCCATCTAAAATCCAATTGGATTTGAATACCATGGATTCAAATTCGGTTCAGATTGGATTCAAATTTAATCTGACACCCCTTCAATTTTTTAAAATACAAAAAATTAAATTATTAATTACTTTTTAACTTTCTGAAATCTGATCGGATTTAAAGACCTCAAATTTTAATTTAAATTAGAATTCACCTAAGTTTTGGACTTTAACAATCCTCGCATTGGGATTGATTATTGGTTTAGTGTTTAATAATCAATCTACTTTCTAAAGATGAGAATCTTTTTCACATTTTCTTTTGATAAAGAAAATAATTTTATTTAATTTTTTTACATAATAAACTGGTCAAACCTAAAACGCATACAACATCAATATATTTTTAATGTTATATTTTTAATGTGTGTGTGTGTATAATTTTAGAGTGGATTCATTGATTAGCCTAACCCAGGCTTGAGCCCGAGTCCAACTCGAGTGCATCAAATTACAGTGCAGGCTAGGCTCTAGTTGAGAAGATCGGACTTAACCTCGAACTCAGGACTTAATCTCAAATTTTAGGGTCGGGCCTGGGTTGACCATAAACTCGGCCCAACCCGCCTGACTTGCACCCCCAAAATGGACCAAATTCAAAAATATAATGTTCTAGTTTAGAATTTAATGAATGTTAATAGGACTTAATACCTTAAACATTAAGAGTTAATGAGAGGAGTTTTAATGAGAAAAAAAATAGTTATTCAAGTTATATTTTTATCTTTACAATTAGAGAGTAACCAAATTTAAAATTAGGGTATTTTAGTCGAACAAAATTTCAATGCTCTTATAGATTTTATTGTGTAGACTTTATAATGGTAGGATGAGGTGACTCATATATGTGACTTTTACAATGATGAGTATTACGGCCTTAATCATCTCAATTAAGGTTTCCTTATTAATATACAAAATTACCCTTAAAGAGACCTTGATATGAAGGGGCAAATCTTGTCCAATAAAAATTCTAGAAAAGTAAACCTTGCACTTTATAAATAGTATAGATATAAATAATATGCATATTTTAAACTTGAAAGGATTATACATACATTTCATATAATTCATATAGATACACCTACAGTTGGAAATTGAGAGAAATTTAAATTATTAAATATTCAATAATCAGACACGGGGATCCAGATTAAGATGGTGTTCGGAAGCGTGGGCATTTATTGGAACCGATTTTAAAAAAAAAAACACCCATGCTTCCAAGACCCGTTTTTCACAAAAAAAATGTTTTAATTTTGTTTGGGAGTGTTTCTACCACGTTGGCAGTGAGCAACACTATGTTGTTTGGTAAGGTGATTTTCATCACCGTTTTTCATATATGTGCTGACAGGTAAGCACCACATTGGATACATATAATCATCAATTAGTCAACCGTTGGGGAAAATGATTCACCGATGCATGAAACGGTTCCCGATTTACTAGACATGTCCGATTTTTCAATAAACGCCTAAACCAAACAATGAAATATATGGGCATCTGTTGAAACGCTTATGTAAATCTGATGTGGCACCCTTTTTTTGAAAAACGGCCATAATTCCAAACATCCCTAAGATTGTGGGCTTAAGGAACCTACCTCAAACTCACAGTTCAAAGTATTAGACGTACGAAACACAAACCTACCTCACACTCACAGTTCAAAGTATTAGACGTACGAAACACAAACCTACCTCACACACTCACATTCAAAGTATTAGACGTACGAAACACAATTTCAAAAGGGCCATATGATACTATTTTTTTAATAATTTGAATATGCAATTTAGAGTTGGAAACGTTAGGAGGGACTATTATTAGGCAATGTTTGGTTTGAAGGAAAAAGTAAAGAAAAAGTAAGAAAAAAAAAGGAAAGATAAGAAAGTCTTTCTCTTCCTTTACAAATCTCCATATAGATTTTGATTTTGACATCTTTCTCTTCCTTTCCCTACCTTTTTCTACAAACCAAACATAATCTTACTTAAAAAATGATCGTATCACGATATGCATTAATATATTATAATTTTTTGAATTTTATTTCAAAGGTATTAATAAATAGAGTCCAGAAAATATGAAATTCAGTAAATCTCTAAAATGGAATATCAACAAAACACACTTTATATAAATGCGTATTATTACATTAATCTTATTAAATGACAAGGGAATATCACGTAGAAATTATTAATTTCTAAATTCATAAAAAAACAAATCAAGAACTTCTTTCTTAACAGCTCTCTCTTGCCCCTTGCAGTGGTACATTGCAAGTAGAATTGCCACCTCGTAGCCCCTAATCACATTTATGGAAGCTTAAATCCTTGAATTAACTAACTCACATACTACAAGGTACTATACTTTTAAGGACCCATAATTATATTTCTCAATCTGCACAAAACAGAGATTAAAAGCAATTAAACCAATAAGTCAACTTCATGCAACCAAACGCGGAACTGACTTATTCTCCAAGTTTCCGCTTGTCAAGTTGTCAGACTCCTATATCTGTTATATCATAAAAGAATTAAGTTATGTTTACTATAGACACCGAAGATTATGTTCCCTAATCTCAAACGCTGTACACGTGTCCATCCAAAGCCACGGAGCCACTGTTGGTAATTAAGTGGGCCATAGTAGTTCAATGATCCATGTGACACAGCGGTGAAAGCACTATAGTTTGATGATCCACAAATTATTTGGATGGTTATTTTTTTTTTTATAAATATGAACAATTTAAGACATATTGTAGATGGGAGTGGAGACAAATTGAACCAACCTTATAAAACGCCATTAAAACTTCGGAGTTCAGAGTTCATAAGGAGCGACCACTCGGACCAGTGTTTCCGTGTTTCCATCTCGCTCTATATTCTCTTTCTTAGAAGCGTCTGAGTACTGTTTAGGAGTTGTTGAGAAAGAAAAGGAGAGTTGTTAATTGTTTCTTCTCTAATCTCTATCTATTGGTAAAAGCTTGATTCGAGTGAGAAGGATGAGATTAAAAGAGGAAGAAGGAGAAGGAAAAGAGTCGTCTACTTCCCTCTGTTCCCTGTTAGAAGAAATTTGTTTGGGAAGAATGAGAGAAAAGGAACGAACTGAGTCGGAGTCTCTGCTACCGAGTCTCGATGGTGTGGAAGATATTTTGCGTTACAAGTTTAATAACAGGAGCCTATTAGAAGAAGCATTCATCCACCCTTCGTACCACTATCCAGAGAAGCCGTGTGTATCCTACGAGCGGCTGGAGTATGTGGGAGACTCCGTGCTCAACTTGCTAATGGCGAAAGAGCTGTTTCTGTTGTATCCCGACCTATCGCCGGGGCCGTTAACAAAGCTACGAGCGGCGAACGTCGACAACGAAAAGCTTGCACGGGTGGCGATCAAGCACGGATTTCATCGCTATATACGCCACAAATCGCCTTCTCTCGAGGAACAAGTAAAAATCCTACCACCTGTAACTCTTTCGTCCTCTCGATTTGTGTCTTTAGTTTTCTTTTCAAACCTTATATAATCAGCTAACTACCACCCTGCTTTCTTATGTTTTTTTCTTCAATCCGATCAGATAATATAACTCTTATTCAGAAAAAGTAATCAAGATTTCTGGGTTTTCTTTCTCTGGGTCGTGATAAGTGAACTCGTGATGTTTCAGTCGAGAGGGGGGTGTTTGTTTTAGTTACGTTTCGATCGGTAAAAGTATCCCTCGTTGTCTCAAAAGCTAAAATCTTTCATAGGGGACCACTGGATGGTGGGCCCTGGGCCATTAATATATGAAACGTGGCAAGTTGGAGACTTTAATCTGTGGGCTTCTGCCTGGGCTGCCTATCTTCGGAACCACCGCCTAGTTTAATTAATCGTCCATTCGTCCTCACTCCTCACGTTCAACCTTCAACCGTCTAGACAGTTCTATAAAGCAACTTGAAGATGCCGTCTCTCCGGTTTGTCAATTTATTAGCGTCAGCCGTAAGCCCATGCCATCAGGCCCATCAGTCCATCACCCCCTCGAATTTCGAATTGGCTGAGTTTATTTTCGTTCATTCTAGGAAGGTAGCTCTCGTCCTTAATTGAAGTAGCGATTTTTTTTTTATCCTTCTTCTTCTGGGTGGACACCCAATCCATGATCATATAATCCAAGTTTGAGCTTGGAATTTGAAGAATTGTCCAACATCTGTGTCTTAATTAAATGCAACTTTCATCGGTTCCATCCTTGGATCAGTGGGTTCTCACCGACCAGATTAAAAGAAAAAAAAAAAAACATTTGATGTTGCTTTCCTCTTTCCTTTATCAAATCAATATCAATTGGTATGCATTGAAGTTGAAACTTGAAACGTCTCAGCATGCAGACGTAACTATTATCTTCTCTTCCACATGGAGGTGACTTGTAAGGTGGGCAAAAATCAATTAGTTTTTTCTTTGTTTTTGATAGAAAGCCCAATTCAATTGGTTGCATAGACTGTAGACCCATTTGGTTCATATGTATGAGCTTCTTTTTTTTTTATTACTTGGTCATTATCTTGCTGATTTCATGTAGTATAAAGCTCCCAATTTCCTTTTTGTTATTTACTTTGGTAGGTATCTAGTGATTTCATACAATAGAAAGCTGCAAACTTACTATTGTTTGATTTTCGATGGACTTGTTCAGATCCGAGAGTTCAATGAGGCAATTTTGGCATACCCAGTACACTCCAATGGCCTTATTGACACACCCAAGTTCCTTGCAGATATCGTCGAGTCTGCAATTGGGGCTGTTTATCTTGACAGTAATTTCTCCCTGGACAGTGTGTGGAAGGTATCTCTATCTTTCTCTTTCTCTCTCAAATTCATTTGGGTTTTCTTTATCTGTTCAAATGCGTTGTTGGAGCCTCCCTCTCAAATTCATCTGGATTAAAAACAGGTGTTCAAGGGTTTGCTGGAGCCGATGATTAGTCCACAGACATTAGGTATGCATCCAATGACGGAGCTCATGGAGCTATGTCAAAAGAAAGGAATGCGGGTACGGTTCGTGGATGCGTGGCAACAAAATACAACCATCGATGTTTTAGTCGATGGCATTTTGGTCGGGAGTGCCAACTACAGCTTAAAGAAAGAAATTGCCCAAAACCGTGCTGCCAAGGCTGCCCTGGACAACCTCAAACGTACATTATTGAATTAGCTCAAATAACCACCAAACTCACCGTATAATATTGCATCCCCCATTTGAATCTGTTTTGTTTTGTTTTGTTTGTTTTTTTTTTTTTTCATGTCCTTTAGGGAACAAAAGAAGAATTTGATGAAATTCTAATCTTATGTATATCCATATTGTAATTACATATGCTTCTCTACAATGGTGACGTGATAAACCCGCATCCATCACGGCATGGTTTTCGAACTACCATTGATCCGGACGGTGGGATCATTCAGTCCGGAAACTATCTAGGCAATCAGTTTTGTTTTATCCTAAATGTGGTCTTTGGCAAAAACCGCTGAATCGGTCAACGATTCATTGACCTGGGCAATCAAATCGTTGACTTGTTGACCCGTTTAATGGTTTTAGTCATTCATTTTTTTTTTTTAATTTTTATTGTCAGAACAGACCATCCGTTCGAACTGGACGGTCAAACCGTCAACCCGAAAAACAATGGCCAGAACAGTTCTGTTTCCAGGTTATTTTTTTAAACCATGCATCACGGAGGCCATCACGAACTTGTCATACACTTGCAATGAGCTTGAAGCCATTGCGGACACCTAGTGGACTAGCAGAAAACGTCAAATTAGCTCTGATGTCACCCACGCCATGTCGATGCAAGAAACAAACGAAGGGAAGTAGTGCATGTGCACTATGAGAATCCTTGGATGAAAGGAAACTTTGTCCTAGGAAGATCTTGCATGACACGTGGTGAACCCTCAACAATGTCTACTTAACATCTGACATCAAATCGAAAATCCCCTTTCCAAGTAAGAGTCAAACCCCTTTTGGCCCCTTCCCTTTAGGGCCTTGGGATCTTCCCTTATAAAAGGAGCATAGATCATAACAAACACACGATTCTATCAATATATATAAGATCCTTGCCTACCTCTGCTACTAAAGACCTCTAGCCTTTTTTCATCCTTCAAGGAGACCATTGCACTCCGCTTTACCACACCACTTATGTTAGAATCTCTGGTTCTTGCCCTTGATCACGAAGAATGGCCACCCGAAGAATCGATCTTTCCCCTATCCCAAAGGAGCAACACATAAACCCCAACAACTCTAATATAGAGCTTGAGGAGCAAGACAATCAAGAGATGGCATAGCAGACAAACATCTCCATCCTATCCCATAAGGTCTATAGCATTGAGTCCCACTTCGATCGAATAGAGCAAATGTAAGCAAAGATGCGAAGAACCTTGCAGCTACCATTACAAAGGTTGATGACTCCCCAACACCCTCCTTTTGTCTCTATAGAACCATCTGCATTCACTCCTTCCAGTCGTCATGTGGCTTCGGCTGAGCAGTACTCACTCAAAACCGACCACCCATCTATGCCCATCATAGTACAGAGAACCCAGTGCTCTACCGCCAAACAAGCACAAACAACAACACGTAGCCTAGCCATCATTGTTGCACCGGTTAGCCGGATGGAGATCAGAGAATACATGCAAGGCCTGAGATTCATGAGCGGAGCTCAAAAAGAAGTTTTTATCCAAATGGTTCACCCTAGAGCGAAGGCTAACCATGGCTGACCTTCGCAACACAGAGCAACGTGCTGAGGAGGATCTCTTGGCCTACGTCATGTGATTCTAGAAGTTGACCCACTCAATCTTCGAGGAACATGCGACAGAGAAAGGATTTTGTGGAACAATGCATGCAGGGGATGCATCTTGCCTACAGAATTGAATGTGGAGGTGGAAACCTTCAACCAACTATGGAAGTGTGCCGAGAGAATAGCACGGACAATAACTGCCCCCGGAGCAACTACCACCACACAGAGAATACTTTACAATAAGCTTGAAGTGTATGCGGTGGATCACAAAACCCGTGGCACAAGAGGGCCTAATCAAGAACCATATTATTGCGGTAGTAGTCGACGGGCCAACTCACTCCAACCACCCCCACCAGCATTACCCTGCAACAAAAGCAAAGTAATCATGATTATGAACAAGCTAGTGGAGGATCAAGTAATCAACTTGCCACCCCCACCAGCCAAAATTGACCCGAAAAGGACAGACTCGGACCCCGCTTGTGCAACTTTCATCAATAAACAAACCATGGATCTCATGGACTGTTTCACCCTATGACAGTTTTTTGTACAAAAGGTCAAGTTAGACAACTACATCAACAAGAAGCCCGCTCAAATGGAAATCGATCCCTTCCCATCACACTCACTAGGGCAGCATTAACATGGTCGGGGCAACCACTAACGGAGACAAGGATATGCTGATCCAGCTTTTCGAACAAAGCATAGAACTCCAACAGTTCTTCAGCAAGCAAGGGGTGAACAACACAGTTCAAAGACTCACTGTTAGGGCACTTGCAAAAGCATTCAAAAGGTCTCTTGAGCCACATCGCATGGATAAAATCAAAGTGGAGTTCACACTAGAGGACATGCTTGCGACAGACCCACACTACAATCATCCCCAATACATAACAACCAAGATAGGGGCTACGAGATGCGATGGTTGCTGGTTGACCAGGGAAGCTCTGTCAACATGATCTCTGTCCATACATTGTGACTAATAAGCATACCCCGTGACACTATGAAGGGCCTACCTATAGAAGTCATTGATTTTAACGGAAATGCGTCTGTCACAAAAGGCTCACTGATGCTGCTAGTAGTCATCGGCCCTTTCTCTATAGAACAGGAATTCCAGGTTGTGTTAGGAAAGACTTTGTATCATGCAATACTCGGCTGGCCACTAATACATGGCCTGGCACTAATCCCCTCTACTTGCCACCAGTGCATAAAAGCAAAATACAAAGGAAGAATGTCAGGATCCCTACCACCATGTCCCGTTTGAAAGGTCCGCAGTGCACCTACAAGACATGACTTATTACACCGAACTCGCTGTGAACAGAGAAATGGAAGTGACTAAAGTCGAAACACTGCGATTACCGGAGCATCAGAGTGGGCCTCACACGACAGTAGAGCAGAAGAAGCGATCCATATGCATTAAGAAGACCGACGAGTATGGGAAAATCTATTACACGATTATTGAGGAATATGAAGAGGTCGGTCCTTTTGTCACAAAGAAAGCTATCATGGATGTCTGATTTACAAAGCAATTTGTGTACAATAATTGTTGTAATATCTCTTTTTCTTATCAATGAATCCACCGCATTCCTACACTCAAAACTACTTCATGAACATCATACCAATTGAATCACAATACAACAATGTCACAATGCTCACATCGCAAACAGAACACAACTCATCACAAGAGAGCACAACAAAACAAGAGGTACATAATGCAATATCTACTCTCACCAAAAACAAATAATCATGAATAAATAACTAAAACCTCACCCACAACAGGAGCAACATGAAGAAACAATAGAATATTATGATGAAATCCATGCGCCTCCTAAGCACATGCAAGACTCACATAGCACAGTAGAAGAATCGTTAGAAGAAATCAACATGGCCACAAGAGAAGGAGATAAGAAGCCATTATACATATCTACCAAATTAGATCAGAAGGAAAAGACGAATCTGATCAACCTTCTGAAAGGTACTAAACTTGTTCACCAATTGTAGATTTAGCAATTCTATTAGGAAACTTACTAAACCATCTCCTCCTCCACGATTGATAGAATTTCAGGATGTACTCGCATGGTCATATAACCAGATGCCAGGACTAGAACTGACACTGGTCAAGCATTCACTCTGCATCGACCCCAAATCCAGACCGTGAGGTAGCCACAAAGGGTGTTCAAACCAGAAGTTGCCCTAAAAATCAAAGAGGAAGTTGAATGACTCCTAAAAGTAGGCTTCATAAAACCCATTGCACATCCACAATGGCTGGCTAATGTTGTCCTGGTCAAAAAGTAGAACGACTAACTAAGGTTAGTATACACACCTGAACTCTACTCCATTAGCACTACTATATCTAGTACATGACAACTCCTCACCTCCCGAGTTCCCTAGGTACTGTGTGGACTTCAGAGACCTCAATAAGGCTTGCCCAAAGGATGAATTCCCGTTGCCCAACATGGAAATTCTCATTGATGCCACAATTGGGAGTCAATTGTTTTTATTCGAAGATGCCTATAGTAGTTACAACTAGATCTACATGGATCTCGTAGGTGCATCCCACACAGCATTTAGAACGCTGATAAGCAACTTTTACTACAAGATGATACCCTTCATCCTAAAGAACATTGGAGCCACCTACTAGAGAGCCATGATAAGCGTCTTCTACGATATGATGCATAAGAAGATATAATGTTACGTGGAAGATATTGTCGTGAAAGCCATGTAAAGAAAGGACCATAGTGAGGTACTGAGGATAGTGTTCATATGGTACCGATCCTTCAACCTGAAACTCAACCCCTCAAGTGTGCATTTGGAGTGTTATTGGGAAAGTTCCTAGGATATTGGGTCAATCACACTGGAATCCACCTAGATGAAAGCAAAGTGAAGGTTGTCCTAGACCTACCTCCCCCAAGAAATGAATCGCAACTCAAGACATTCTTAGAGAAGGTGTCCTACCTAAGGAGATTCATTCCTGGTCTCGTTCATGCCGCATCTCCCCTCCTAAAACTAACCAAAAAATCTATAGAATATAGATGGTCATTATAGCATCAGAACACCTTTGACTGCTAGAGTATCAGAAGCCATAGGGTGCCTGCTAGCACAGGAAAACGACGAGAAGGTGGAATGCCCCATTTACTACGCTAGTAGGACATTGGAGCCAATAGAAAAGAACTATTCACACATGGAACAATAATGCCTATCACTTGTCTTCGCAACCCAGAAGTTCAGGCACTACATACTAGGTCAAAAGGTGGTCTTGATAGCAAGAAATGACCCTATCAGATACTCCATAGACAGACCACCGCTCTCCGGGTGGCTAGCCAAATGGATGATGCAACTGAGTGAATATAGTATTGATTACACCCAGCCCTGAGCAATCAAATGCCAAGCCATTGCCAACCTACTAGCAGCTTTCCCATCCAATAGTGATTTCCCCATATATAATGAAATACCAGGCAACCTTCCCCTGATCACAATAGTAGAAGATCTCGAATGGACTCTGACCTTCAACGGTAGTAGCACCGACTCCTCTGCAGGTGTAGGAGTGACTTTAACCTCACCC